TTAATAATGTGTGTTACAATCGCATATTAAGGAGAGATGATGATATATTTTCATATTTTATTTTAGATGTTTGCGCAAACGATTTCCTTCGGAAGGTCTTTCTCTTCTGAAACTTCAGGCTGCTGCCGAGATTAGTTTAAGAAATTTGAAACGCTCGTCTAGAACGATTTTCAGACATGTATGTACGCGTGTCTCGATGACATTCTCCACTAACCTTTCGAATAAATGAAATCGATGATGAGATGAATGCTAGACAAACGGAAAAAAAGGTCAATGCGATAGTCGATGAAATTCTTGATGAAGATCAGGAAAACGATTTCGATGCAACGCAAACTGAAACTTGTCCGGCAGGCTGCGAGAAATTAGATGATACGTCTAAAGAAGTAAGCTACGCGCAAAGAGTATCTCTTTTTAGTCACGTAACTGCAATTATATTAATTGATCTTTTTTAAAGCGTTAGCCAACGAAAAAAAATTCTATCACAAAGTTAAATCTCCATCTTTTGGATGTTATTAGTAAAATATAATTTTATCATACATGAGCCAGCGCATTAGAAAATATTAGAAGTAGCTTAACGAGTCACAATTTTTGGCGACGCTAATTTAAATTACGTTAATCGTGACAATTAAATTGTATGCTCGATTACAACGAATTTCAGAAGACCCAAGATCCAAGAAACAGAAAATCTCTATCGCCACAGACACCCCAATGCAGATGCGGCGTGGAGAACTCGTCGAGATTCTCGCTGCGCGTGATGGAGGCGATGCGCTCGCTGCAGCGCGACGTGGACCAGCCGTCCACGTCCACCGCCGAGGAGATCGCCGACTACATCCGATCGCATTATCGCCACGACGGCGACCTTTACGCTCAGGTGCGGACCGCGCTGAGACAGGTCTGTTCTCAAGGGTTAGTTGTCCCTTCGTCGAAGATCAGACCAGATCGGATGAAACGCGTAAAAGCACTCGCAAAAGCACGCGCAAAAGCACTCATACAATTCTCGTATATCACCCGGGTAATAAGCTGACGTTATGTGTCGTCATTTCGACGTCAAAACGACAAATAACGTCAAAATATTGTCAATATCAAATACGCTGACAAATAACGTCGGCTATCTAGATAATTTACTTTTCTTTTGATTTTTGTTACTTTTATTATTTTATGTTAAATTAACACGTACGCAACACGTACATTGCAATGTTATGTTTTATAACACACATCGAAAGAATGTATGTACTATTTGAAAGAATGCTATTTTAGTCCTAATAGTGCATTTAATAAATAACGATATTTCTCTCTTTCTCTCGCAATCGTGCTTTGTTCAAGGCAATCGCTGTAGTATATTGCGCGACTTATCTTGTTCCCAGGCTATATGTATCTATCGACCGATATTTTGGTACTAATTACGTACAGCAGACATGGTGTTGTACCGTGCGCATATTATTCAAAATTGTTAAATTTAATATTTAAAAGTGCTCAATAAACAACGCGCTTTCTTAGTTTTAGGAATAACAGCTTTGTAACATAAATTGACAAATACGGGTTTCTTGTTACGCGTCTCGGAGTTTTTTTTTCTTATTTAATTTTTTTAAAAAGATCTTTCGCTGTTTACTATAAATTAACGACAGTCACGGCGTTCCAACAGATTTGTCATGGAATTACTGAGCAACGAGTATCATTTGGTCGGACCCGTTGCTAGCTCGATAAAGCGGAATGGCTGTTCCTGGGATTGCAAAAATCGTATGATAGACGACGCGTCGAGAAGACGAAGAGACGTCGACGATCAGAGAAACGGCGTATGCAACTGTACGCGATTTGCCAGAAGTCTTCGCCAAGATCCGAGATCGCCCCACGTGGAGTCACTCAGGACTCCCATTGTCGATCGTCTTGAGGATACGGAACCGATTTTTCATTCGACCAGAATACCGGCCGACGAAAGGGATGACGCGGACCGTCGCGAAAGGGAGTTTAATGCCGATGTCTCGGATATTCGAGACGATCGTCGACGACGCGACGCAATCGGGATGGAGCAACGTGACGATTACGCGGAACCGATCCCTGGGCCTTCCCGAAGATTCGTGGAGACTCCTGTGCCAGCCAGAAACGCGAAGAGAATGCGGGTGGAAGATCGAACAGTGGGTGACGCGGATGAGAAAGATGATGAGACCACGACGGAGGAGGATATGGATTGCACTTGTGACGCCGAAGCTGTAACGCAAGATGAATATCCGAGGATCCGACCTGTCGATCGTCCTCGCGTCGTCGTTAGAAACCAGCGAAACGGACGTCGTCGCAATGATGTCGAGGAAGACGAAAAGGACGAGGAGGATGAAAGGGTGGAAGAAGAGGATGAAGACATGGAGGAAGATAGCGCGTACGAAGAAATAAGGGCGCGAGATCCACGCAGGAGAACTACGGCACGCGAACGAGAGCTGAAAAGGTGGATCCGGCGGTGTCGTCAAGAATGCGAACGACGAAGAGGGCGATAATTCTCTGTACAAATATATTTTTAAAAACTTGAGAAAAAATAAATTTTGTTTCTTTAACTCGGCACAATTAACTTCCATGCGGCATGGGAACAAAATTAATGTGAATTCGAAATAGAATTATAATAATTCTAAGATTTTGCTGTTTCAAAATTTTTACAGATATTAAATTTGAAATAAAAAGTTTTATGTCCGATTTCTTTGTCCAATATAAGAAACAATTTGTTGCCATGTACGAGCTAAGTAAAATACGCACGTGTTAAATTTTGAGTCAAAATTAATAGAAATAAAAATATAATATCTTATCTATATAATTGCCGGTTTTATCATTAAACATTTTAATTATTTGATCATTTTTATTTAATAATTAAAGTATAAAATTAAAAATTAACATTGTAAATGTTACAAAACGTATTATATTATGCTTTCAACGATTAAATTTATTACGAATCAAGTCTATCGATCTCGCACAGAATACTCAGTATCGGTGGTCGCGATACTCGATGGATCTTCGTCGTCTTCTCTTGCATCTTTTCTTGACAAGAATGGTCCCAGCTCTCGCGAGACGCGCAGCATGTTCCTTCGTCGATCGGTCGGATATAACAATCCGGATTGCACTCCGTATAAAAGCGCTTTCCGCACGTAACATTTCGCGCGTTTTCGACCTGAGCAAAAGAAAATCAATAGCGTGTGTTAATCAACCTATGTTTCATTTGCTACTACATTTTTATCTTCTTCTCAAACATTCCAGAAGATTAGATTTTGACGAATCTATCACTGTTAAATATTAAAGGATGACACTTAAACCAATATATCTTGAGTTAAATTTTGTTTTTAAACATTTTATTACTTTCAAGTGCCATATATGTGTGTCGAAATTTATTATTCTAATGCAAAACAGTATTATTTTAACTCCATTGGTTTAGTTAAATCAACATTATTTTAATATTAATTTAAATTGCATTTAATGTTAAATTAACAACATTTTTTTTTTTTTTTAAATAGGAGCAGTGGCGACCTATAGGAATAGTTAAAAACGACTTAAATTAAGTTAACACTGCGCGAATTTAACAGTGAATGTGCTCTTTCGTACATCGAGCCACATTCGATCTCTGTGCATTTTAAGCGAATTAATTATACCATCGCGGACGGCTTTCGCGTAATCGGCGACACCTTCCCTCGACGAGCTTCTAGACGCCCTCTTCAAGGGCACATTTTTATCCGCGCGCAATCGAGACCGCTGCTCGCCATCGTCAGCGAAGATTCCTCCCTCGAGATTCGTACGAATCGCCGCTACGTCATGCCCGTGAATGTCCTTCTTCCTCGCGTGTCGCTTATTGAATTTGCTACACGCGCAGTTCCGCTGCCTCGACTTCATGTTCTTGTCGGCGCATCTGCCCAGATACTTGTACACCAAATCGAACACCGTTGACTTTTCGATGTCTTGCCGGGGGAAATAACGCTCCTCGTCATGTCGCGTCGGCACAGCTGACCTAATTGGAAATAACGACGCAAATTAAGGCAACGAATGGCAATGAACAAAGTTATATTTGTTATGCCTTGCGACTCTATGCGTCACATTTCATTTTACAGCCGTCCAATATACCGCGCGGCGTAAATTGTTGCACGATCTGTCGTTTAGCTCGCTGTAACGAGCTCTTTTTGATCAATCTAATATTTTCGTGTCGAGATTGGCGCGTGGCTTAAATTGACCTGTATGCGCGATCGAACGCAGCGCGATGTCGGTGCACGTCTCTCGGACGACGAAGTCTCCGATCTCCAGCCATGGCAAAGCAGCAAAAGATACGTAATCGTCATAAATCAGGGAAACGGCTTATTTAATCGTAAAAATTGCAGGACCAAAATTTAGGTTAACGGTATACGCGGGCGTGATTGTGGAATAGTATTTTGTTTCGTCTTCATTCATCTTCTACATCTGCAAATAACGAACAATCTGCAACAATTGAGCTAATGACGAGAATAGGGAGAAAAATGAAAGCGCAAAAAGTCGCGCGAGAAGCAAACGAGAGGCCTCTGGGTTCTTTTTAGCTGAAATTCTTGCGCAGTTTAGGGCTCAGACACAATGACAAAAATAAGGAATAAGATAAAGGAATAAGGAATAAGGAAATGTCGCATCTCACTTCAGTACACGTACATTAAAGTGAGGTGCAACATGCCTTATTCCTTATTTTTTTATCTTATTCCTTATTTTTCTCATTATGTC